GTAGGAGTTATTTATATCCTACTGCTCAAGGTTATTACCAAGGTCTGATTTTTCACACGTTTGCAATCCAAAAAATTATAGTCTCCAGCATAAGTGGGTTAACTTCACCAGGCCCCTAAAGTTTAAGTAAAACTGAGATATTTGAGCCCCATAAGAACACCAGCTGGCACAGAGATCTGCACTCCTGGTGCCCTGATGGGAACCAGCCTGGCCCTGACAGCAAAGAAAACGAGGTCCCAGCACATCGGCCAGCAAGGCTGCTCCACCTCAGGGGCCTCCAGCACCTTGTCAGACCCAGTTTCAAGTTTCCAGCCCCTCTTCCCACCTCAGCCTCGTCACTCCGAGGGTCATAGGGGCTCCTGCAATTTCCTTTCCCTCTGAGGTCTTCCTCATATTAAAGATCATCTTCCCTCTGCCTGGCTCCCCAGGAAGCCCAGAAAGTCTCCCCAGGTCCGGCCTTCCTCATAGCCTGCAAAGCAAATGTCTTAGGGAAAAAGAAGAGAAGAGAAGAAGGAAAGGAAGGAAGAGAGAAAGAGGGTGGTGAGGAGAGGGAAAGGGAGGAAAGGAAGAAAGGAGAGGAGAATAGAGTGACAGAGCAGGAGTCAAGAGGAGAAAGGAAGTGCTAAGCAACTAGAGGGAGACTACGCCTTGTCTTCCAAACCAGCACTTTCTGGTCACTCTATTTATTTATTTATTTATTTAGAGACAAGTTCTTGATCTCTCCCCTAGGCTGGAGTGCAGTGGCGCAATCACGGCTCACTGCAGCCTCGACCTCCCAGGCTCAAGCCATCTACCCACACCAACCTCCCAAGGAATAGCTGGGACTAAGTACACACCACCACATCTAGCTAATTTTTTTATTTTTGTTTGTTTGTTTGTTTAGGAATGGGGTCTCGCTATGAAGTTCAGGCTGGTCTGAAACTCCTGGGCTCAAGCAATCCTCCCACCTGAGTTTTCCAAAGTACCAGGATTACAGGTATGACCCACCACACCAGCCTCTCATCACTTGATTCCCACCAAATTCTGTTTGAGTGAACATGAAGGAGGTAAAGTATTTCAGAAATCCCAGTTTGCTGTATGTTTTCATTGAACACCAGAGAAAGAAAAAGAAACCCATTAATTTTATAATATTTTCTAGGGTGTGGGGGGAGAGAAAGAAGAAATGTTCTTGGTATCTTGCTTTTTTTTTTTTTTTTTTTTAAAGGTCTTTGTAGTTTCCTGTTAATTTAATACCAGAACCTTTGCTGTGTAAATAACACAGATAAAGATAAACTTTACTGGCCCTGGACTCCAACCTTTGTTTAACATTCCACCCCACTCTGATCCATCCCCTATCCCACCCATAGAAATTTGTAATTTGTTGCGGAGATTTAGAGGCTGAGAAAAAACAGCTGAGGAGGCAGAGCATGTTGGTTTTAGACAAGCCTTGTAAGAATATGCTAAAAATCCCAGTACATCTGACAGTTCTCTGGAACTTGTCTTTCTCTCCTTCTCAGAGATGACCTAGATGGGGTCAATTCCCTTTCCGGTCAGCTTGTAGGTCTCACCCAGGCTCTGCCACCCACCCTCCCAGTTCATTATACCCATTTAGGCTGCACTTTGCTGGCCTGATCCTTCACTGTTATTTAGACAAGTAACTTAATCCCTCTTACCTGCTATTATTGAGCACTCTAGTTTTGTTTTGTTTTGTTTTGTTTTTTTGTTTGTTTGTTTGTTTTTTTGAGGCAGTCCCACTCTCTCGCCCAGGCTGGAGTGCAGTGGTGCGATCTCAGCTCACTGCAATCTCTGCCTCCCAGGTTCAAGCAATTCTCCTGCCTCAGCCTCCCAAGTAGCTGGGATTACAGGCATGCACCACCACACCAGGCTAATTTTTGTATTTTTAGTAGAGATGGGGTTTTGCTATTTTCTCCAGGCTGGGCTCGAACTCCTGACTTCAGGTGATCGGCCCACCTCAGCCTCCCAAAATGCTGGGATTACAGGCATGAACCACTGCATCCAGCCAGATTTAGTTTCCTTTTTGATGGGGCACTTCTTCCTCTAATAGTGTTTTCAAAGAGGGGCTATATGTGATATACCTTCTGATTCTTTATATACCTGATAACTTAGCTAGAAATCCAAATCTAGGGTCAAAGTTAATCTTCTCTGATACTTTTTTTTTTTTTTTTTAACTCAAAGACTTTCTTTTATTAGTACATGGGCTGGGACTGATGGGAAAGGATGGATGTAGTGGGCAACCACGGTTAGCATCGGATACCCATCCCGATGGCCATGAATGTGCCAAAAGTGCCGCCACTCTGCATCATGGTTTTCCCAACGCCGCCCATCAGCTCCCGACCTCGCATTCTGATCCTGAGACAGGAAAAGGTGCCGAAGAGCGCCCCGGCCGCCATGCCCACGGCGCAACCCATCACGAAGCCCATCTTGACGCGGTCGAAGCAGCTTGGCTGGGACTGTCCGTAGGGACCCACAGCCACCGGCATCTCGCTCGCGGCCTCGGTCGCTTAGCTCTACGTCTGTCACGGAAAACGACGGGGAGGGCGCTCTCTCTGATCCTTTAAACCAATTTTTCCATTTTTTCTTAAACCCAATGTTGCTGGGAAGAAATTTGAAGTCAACCTGATTGTTCTTCCTTCCTCAGTCCTTCTATTATCCAGCTGCTGGGAATACAGATGTGATGGCCGGAGCTTTAGCTGCCAACTTGGATTATGAAGATGTCAGAGGGCAATAGTGACCTGGTATGAAATCTGAGTCCTCAAAGACCTAGTAAAGCAGAACTATTATACTATTTCAGCCATAAGCTGTCCATCTCCAAACTTCTACAAGAGAGAAAAAGAAATTTTTATTGTTATTAGTGGAGTCTGTGTTATTAAGAAAAGAATCTTAATTCATATAGCCATTAAATCTACTTTGTTTTATACTTTCCAGAAGTATATATATTTCCAGAGATGGAGTTTCGCTCTTATTGCTCAGGCTGGAGTGCCATGGCACAATCTCGGCTCACCACAACCTCTGCCTCTCAGGTTCAAGCGATTCTCCAGCCTCAGCCTCCGAAGTAGCTAGGACTACAGGCATGTGCCACCATGCCCAACTAATTTTGTATTTTTAGTAGAGAAGGGGTTTCTCCATATTAGTCAGACTGGTCTTGAACTCCCAACCTCAGGTGATCCATCTGCCTCGGCCTCCCAAAGTGCTGGGATTACAGGGGTGAGCCATTGCGCCCAGCCCCAGAAGTCTAATTATTTTTTTCCCAGTGAATTCATGTTTCCCTAGATATCAGCTACCTTGGCTGGCAATGGGTACACCTGGAAGAGACTAAAACCTAAACTCTCCCTATATCCCACCTGGGAGTTTAAGGAATGGGGATGTGAGAGGACTTGCCTCTGGCATCAAATACGAATGTGGCCACTCCCCATGTGCCACCCTCACACACAGCAGACACCCTGCTCAGAGAACTTCTGGACACTCTCCCCTGGCCAATGCCCTTTTCATGAGCTGGGTCTTGTGGCTGGAATTCCAGACCCATGAAGTGGGAAGAAGAGTTGCCAGGTCTGCTTGTTCTGTGCTGCCAGCCCCAGCCTGATATCGCCATCCCTCGCTAGCAGAGCTGTTTTCTGCCGTCCAGCGCCATGGCAGTGGTGGGGGGTTGGAGATGGGGTTGAGAAATAATGTTCCGAGGCCAATGCGGGCAAAGAAACAAGCACAAGTGTATGGAGTTCACTCAGCCTATCCCCCTCCCACGGCACTGAGGGGCGGAAGGAAGGGACCTCCCCGGAGTTTACACTGGTTTCTCAGAGTCCTTACCAACTCCCCTCTTGCTTCTGCGGCATGTTTAGGGTACTATTCAGAGGAAGAGGTCAGCCCTTTAAGTACATTATCATCTTGTCACTTTCTGCTTTAATTTTACTTTTCATTAAAAATTACGTGTGATATAAAACTCAGTTCTTCAGTTGCACTCGCCAGAATTCAAGTACTCAATAATAGTGACATATCGTGCAAATAATAGAAAACAATTCTTCTACTGCATTATCAAGGGAAAAAAAAGAAAACATTTCCATCACCACAGTATGTTCTATTGGACAAGGCTGACCTCGACCCTTGGAAGGAAGGGAAATGCATTCCTGCTTCTGACCTGGCCCCTTCCCCGCCCCCCACCCCACGCAGATCTGAGCACCATCCGTGTCCTGTATCTGGCCCCCTAGACTTTCTGCTTTACGGGAACAGTCTGGGTTTGACCCCAGCGCCTACGGCAGTACAATAAGTATTTGTGGAGGTAATGGGTCCTCAGTCCTTTTTTGCTAAATGTTGAAACCCAAAAGGAAAGTTGGGTGGCAGAAGTAACCCCTGCGCCGCCGCCTCTGGGGCTCAAGTGATTCTCCTGCCTCAGTTTCCCGCACACGCCACCACGCCCAGCTAATTTTTGTATTCTTAGTAGAGACGGATTTTCACCATGTTGGCCAGAGTGGTCTCGATCTCCTGACCTCGTGATCCGCCTGCCTCTGCCTCCCAGAGTGCTGGAATTACAGGCGTGAGCCACCGCGCCCGGCCGCGGGTTCTCTTTTATCTCACCTTCCTACCTACTTATCTGAGCCCTCCGCTCCTACCCCCTATCTCCCACCCCACCTCCGCAAAACCCCAAACGGTGCAGGACTCTGCTCCAAGTCTCCAAACAATCTTATCTAGTGAGAAGATAATTTTCTGTCTTCCCACCCTCGGCTGCCCAGCGCCTACACCTAATAGGTGCTCAGTAAGTATGTGTGGGATGGATGAATGAAGGAAGGAAGGAATGACTCTCCGTTTCCCCAGGTCTGCACAGGGACTGCGGGAGGAGCCACCCTTGGAGGGCTGGGGAGAAAGCCCCCTTCTCCCATCCGAGCCCGAGATACGGGGTTCGCCCAGGGGAGCGTGCCACAAAGTCCCCGCCCGGGGGTCTGGCCCGGCTCTGCCATCGGGGGCGTGTCCTGCGGGCCGGGACGCCGCCGCCCCGAGAGGCGGGCCGCGGGTGCGTCCCGGCCGCAGTAGCGGCCGCAGAGGGCGGGTGGCGGCCAGCATGGAGCGGGAGCTGGAAGCGCTGGTGGCCCGGCCCACGCACCCGGCGGAGCCTCCCTTCCAGGAGCTGGTGGAGGCGGCTGGGGGCCGCGGGCAGGTGCTGCTGGTGGGCGAGCTGTGGGAGCGCGAACAGAGCCGCGCTCTGCTGCTGGACTTCGCCCGGGCCGTGTTCCCGCCCGAGCCAGGCGTGGGCAAGCCGAGCGGCGCGGCGGCGGAGGGCGCGGGACCAGGGGGGGCGCGCGGGGCGCAGAGGGCGGCGGGGACGCGCGCCATCCTCTCGCCCCTGGTCTTCGTGCTTTGCCGCGCATCGTCGCTGGCCGCCCGGGAGCCGCGGCGCCGCCTGCGGGAGATGCTGCGGGACGTGCGCGGCCGGCGGCGGGCCGGGGCGGCGCTGGTGGGGGTGCTGGTGGCCGAGGCCGGGCCCGAGGACGCGGTGGCGCTGGGGTTGCGACTGCTGGAGGCGCTGCTGCGCGCAGTGTTCGGCCGCCAGGCGGGGGGCCCGGTGCAGGCAACCGCCTACTGCCCCGGCCGCCCGGCCTCCTGTCTGGCCGTCCAGGCGGCCGCCTGCCGGGCCCTGCAAGCCGCCGGAGCCGCGCGACCAGGTGAGGCTGCGCGGGGCTCGGCGGGGCGCGGGCGGGCGGTGGCTTGGGCACGTCCCCCAAGTTGGACCCCTTTAGGTCGGCCCTCCTCATTGAGCACGGAGGTAAACTGAGGCTCAGAGCAGGGAGGTGCCTAGAGCCAGGCCTCCCAGCTAGCGGAGAGCGGGCCCTGGGCAGGAGGTCGAGTCTGTCCCGGGAGGGTCCGGAGTGCACGGGAGATGCCTAGGGGGGTCGGGAAAGTTTAGGGGCCGAGCAGGAGGCCGCGGGAGCGGGTAGAGCGAAGGGATGAATCGGGCAGGGCAGAGATATAGGAGTTGGGGGTAGGTGGGGGTGGGGAGAGGTGAGAGGGGCGGGGAAGGAAATAGGAAAGCGTTGGGATGACAAAGTTTCAAGGCGGTGGATGGGGACTACGGAGATTATTGGCAGTGCCAGGAGCTAAATTCTAGGGCGCTGCGCAGCTAGAGATGCGTCAGGAGCTTTTGGAGGGGCGGAGGGGCATCTCCAGCGCGGTGGAGGCTCGCCCTGGGAACCCTGCCTGGTTATAGGAAGAAGGCAGGGAATGGGTGCTCAGGACTTGGAGTGTGGGGGAGGTGACAGGGACTGAGAGCACAATATTTTCCAGTGATTCCTGGCCACCCACCAAGGCTGTGCACCCAACTGCTGTGTCTTTCTGCCTTGCCCAGATCTGCTGAAGCCACCTTTGCCCTCCACATTCTCCTAAAATGTGGACGGGGTTTAAGGGTCTTTTCCTAGCCCCCGTGACTGCTGCTATCAGCAAAAGGGTCAGGATCTCCTTCCTCCTGGAACGCAAGGCTTTACGGGAACTCTCCAGTGTTCTAGGATGAAAATAGGCACATTAAGAGTAGCTGCTTCTGGCAAACCCGGGAGATATTGGCACTCTCCAGCTCCCAGCTTTCTCTCTGCCCTCTACCTGCCCAGCTCGGCAGCTCTTCAAGCCCTCCAGCCCCTTCCTCTTAAGTAGATAATGAAGAGAGTGGCTGTGTTGTGTCTCCTGGGGTATTTGGTGTTGGTGGGGCGCCCAGGGGGGAGGTCCCAGCAAGGAGACCTGGTACCTGTGAAGCTACCAATGTCACATTCACCTACCAGCCTGGCCTGCCTTGGCGAGTGCGCCTGCCCTAACCCTCCTCCTTCAGGGCGCAATCCCTTTTTTTAGGGATTGTTCTGATTGTTGTGATTGTTTGTTTCAACCCCTTTGCTGACCTGGCCTCCTAGGGAAAAGAAGGGAATTCACACACATTTTCTATACTCTAGTGAGGTTTTTGTTTTTTGTTTTTTCAGACAGAGTCTAGCTTTGTCGTCTGTGAGTGGCAGTGGCTTGATCTCGGCTCACTGCAGCCTCCACCTCCTGGGTTCAAGCTATTGTCCCGTCTCAGCCTCCCAAGTAGCTGGGACTACAGGCACCTGCCTCCAAGCCTGGGCAATTTTTGTGTTTTTAGTAGAGATGGGGTTTTGCCATGTTGACCAGGCCAGTCTCAAAGTCCTGACATCAAGTGATCCACCCACTTTGACCTCCCAAAGTGCTGGGATTACAGGCATGAACTACACCTGGTCCCTCCTAAGCTTTTTGTAGACACCTTGCTTGTTGCCTTAGCCTAAAGAGCCTTTTCTCCTCCTTTCTTCTCACCTGGCCAATCCCATTTGTGCATTTAGAACTGGACTTCCTCAGGCCGGGCGCGGTGGCTCAAGCCTGTAATCCCAGCACTTTGGGAGGCCGAGGCGGGTGGATCACAAGGTCAAGAGATCGAGACCATCCAGGTCAACATGGTGAAACCCCGTCTCTACTAAAAATACAAAAAATTAGCTGGACATGGTGGCGCGTGCCTGTAATCCCAGCTACTCAGGAGGCTGAGGCAGGAGAATTGCCTGAACCCAGGAGGCGGAGGTTGCGGTGAGCCGAGATCGCGCCATTGCACTCCAGCCTGGGTAACAAGAGCGAAACTCCGTCTCAAAAAAAAAAAAAAAAAAAAAAAGAACTGGACTTCCTCCTCCAGGAAGACTTCCTTGACCTTCCCTGCTCCCATTTGCAAGTTGACTCGTGAAATTCCAGAACCCTTTATCCCTTTGCCCCCTGAGCTCTTACCACATGATTTGGTTCCCTTGTGAACATGATTTTGTTCCTTTGCGGGTTTAAACACCATCGCAGTCCTATTTCCTGATACCCTGTCTGGCATACAGAAAGAGTGAATGAATCTTTGCTTCTTTTTAAACAAACACTAACACTTTTGAGATTTTAACACCTTGCACAAGAATTATTCTCTACTGTGTCAAGCTCTTTCCTACTTTTATAAAAAACATACTGCACAGAATTAAACTGCTCACAAATGACTAAAGGTCATGAGTATAATTATAACTGAAAGCCCACTGATTTTTTGGCAGTAGGCAGCACCATTATCCTCACACCAAATGGATTCATGTCGCTAAGGTTTCACTAGTGGTTGCATTTGGTTTTTTGTTGTTGTTTGTTGTTGTTGTTGTTTTGCTTTTTAAGTTTTCCAATGTCTTTCCTCACTGTCTGATGATAATTCGTATTCTAGGTTGCTTGCCTTTTGGCAGTGCCCTTTTACCCAGTTTGTAGTACCTAATCCGGCTGCCTTTGGGTTGAAAAACTAAGGATACAGTCTCATTACATTTGCGTACAAGTTAAGAGTAAATAGGTCTTGAATAAAGATTATAAACAAGGATTTTCCTTGTTTTGACTGCCTGAAGTCTTTTTAAAAAATTAAAAAATAAAATAAATAATCTAGTTCCTGTTGACTTTATGGATTGTGAACAAATATATCTATTCCTGCCAAGAAATAGTTTGAACTAAAATCAGAGGGACTGTTCCACTCTAATCTTAATTAATTTCATGTCATTTTCATTGCTTTAGTTTCCCCAACCTAGTACCTACATCACAGGGTTTTTGTAAGAATTAAATGAGATAACAGAGATAAAGTAAAGCAATCATTTTTTAAGTTCTTTTTTAAAGTACAAAAGCTCGCCCACTTTTGCAAATCAGAATCTTTGTAGACAGTTGAAACCAGGGCAGTTGACAGTTGAGGCTCTCGGTTTGCTAAACAAAATCTCAGTCTTGTGAGGTGGGAACCATGTGGCCCTCTGACTCGGGTTTTGTGTTCTTTCTAGTGGAAGGAGCCTGGGAGAGGCCAGGCCTGCCAGGACTGCTGGCCTGCTTTTCCTGGGGTCCCTGGAGCCAGAGGAAGGACCAGGGTGTCAATGCCTGCAGAAGCCCAGCTCAGGGTGAGTGCTCCCCGACCTCCTGCACCCTGAGGACCACGTGCGTGGAATTATGGGAGTGGTCACATGGACTTGGGACCTTGTGGACAGAGTGCACCAATGTCTATGGAGCACTTGCCATGTGCCAGTTGTGGGGATGAGCAATGTGAAGTGCCCATATGCCAGGCAGTGGGCACATGGGCTCAGTCAGGCTGGGCTCTTTCTCCAGGAATCTCCACCTAATGAAGGGGGCGTGGGGAGGGCTACAACGAAGGTTTCACCAGGTGTATGGTGGGGTGCATGGGACCAAACACGGTGAGTCTCCCCTGAGGATCCAGGGAATATCCTGGAGCAAGTGACATTTGAGCTGGGGATGGAGGAATTTTCACAGGCAGAAATGGGAAGGTTTGGAAAAGAAGCACTGAGCTAAGGAGTGACAGGACAGTGTCATGCTCAGAAAAGGGACCACCATCAAGAGGCCCGGGAATGGGGTGCAGAATGAAACCAGTGAGGGCCAAGGCTGAAGGGAAGAGTTTGGACCAAATCAGGGTCCAAGATGTGCACCCTTCAGGACTAGTGTGCCACGAGCGATTTTTGAGCAGAGAGACTGGGGTGTGTGTAGAAAGTGGACCCTAGGAGAGGGAGACACCTTCAGCAGAGCCCAGCTAAGGGGAGGCTGCATTGTCCCAGGAGGGATAACAGGCCGCCTGGGCCTGACCTGGGCAGTGGGAAAGGAGGGGAGAGAACTCACCTGGGAGAACTCACCTGGGAGCCACTTCTAGGTGGAATCATCAGGCCACTAAATAGAAGCTAGGGAGAAGGGGAAGACACCCCCAGATGTCCATGCTGATGTTAGGGAGATAGGAAGTGCACTGATCCCCCTCTTATCCACGTGAGATGCTTTAAGACACCCATGGATCCCCAAAACCGTGGGTAGCACCAAGCCCTATGTATACATGACATCCTCTACATACATACCAATGATAAAGTTTAATTTCTAAACTAGGCACAGTTAAGACATTTAACAATATATAATAAAAGTTAGGTGAATGCGGTATCTCTCTCTCTCTCTCTCTCTGAAAATATCTTATTGTACTGTACCGCAGGTAACTGAAACTGTAGATAGTGACCCCATGGATGGGGGTGGCTACGGTACTCAGGAGCAGGGTGTAGCTGCTGAATAAACATGTCCCCATCCCAAAGTGCACTGAGAATTATAGCTTTGTTACAGAAACAGTGGACGGTGGTTCAAAATAAACTTGTATTGTGTCTTCTATTTAAGAAAGAAAACCATTAGTTGATGTTTCAGTCTTCATTGCTGCCTAAGAAATGATTGCAAGTGGCCTGGTGTGGTGGCTCACGTCTGCAATCCCAGCACTTTGGAAGGCTGAGGCAGGTGGATCACCTGAGGTCAGGAGTTCGAGACCAGCCCGGCCAATATGGTGAAACCCCACCTCTACTAAAAAATACAAAAATTAGCTGGGCACAGGGGCAGGTGCCTGTAATTCTAGCTACTGGGAAGGCTGAGGCAGGAGAATCGCTTGGACCAGGGAAAAGGTTGCAGTGAGCCAAGACTGCACCATTGCACTGCAGCCTGGGAGACAGAGCAAGACACTCTCAAAAAAAAAAAAAAAAAAGAAATGATCGGAAGCTTAGCAGCTTCGAAGGCATTGATTAGGTCCCTGACTTCTTGTTGGCTGTCGGCTGGGACTGTTCTCAGCTTCAAGAGGCTCCCACTGTTTGTTGCTCTCACAGCCCTCTCACAAGAGATCCTCTTTCAACCAGCAGGAGAGGCCCCCTCCATCTGCTAGGAGGGAGTCCACATAACCTAAGGAGATCGAGGGAGTCACTAGCCATTGTCTTTGTCAGAGAGGCAGCCTACTCCCCAGGTGACTAAGCTGTCACATTCACAGAGCCCATCCAGACTCAAGGAAGGGCTTTATAAGGGGCCAGAATCTTGGGGGCTACCTTAGAATTCTGCCTTTCATGTTTGAAAGCTCAAAAAAGTACAAAACAAAAGGAAAACAAATGTGAAACATCATTCAGTTAATTCCATCATTCAGAGATAAGTACAATCATATTTTGGGGTACACCATTCTGTGTACCCATCTCTCCTTGTGCTATTTAAAATTTAATAAACTCACTTCTATATCATCTTTAAAATGCAGCAGATATTTAAAATGTTTAATTGCAAAAATGCTGACTTCAACCTCTCTGCCATTAGTTTGGATATACTTGAAAACTAAAGGAGAAAAAATAAAGCAACAGAATCATTAACCGTTTTACATAAATCTTGGATAATTTCTCTCTCTATGGTACATACAAATCTCACGTAGAAGTGAATGTATTAAAATGCAAAATACACACATTGATAGCATAAGTAATAAATACAGGATTTCATAATTACATGCATTTATATAATCATGAGTTGCGTAATGACAGGGACACAGTCTGAAAAATACATCTGTAGGTGATTTTGTTGTGTAAATGCCATAGGGTGCACTTACACAAACCTGAATGGTATAACCTACCACACCCCCAGGCGATACGGCATAGCCTGTTGCTCCTAGGCTTGCAAACCTGTACAGCAGGTTACTGTACTGAATACTCTGGGCAACTGTAACACAATGGTAAGCAGCTGTCTGTCTCAATATATCTAAACATAGTAGAGGTGCAGTAAAAAAATACATTATAAAAGGCTAAAAATGGTACATCTGCATAGGGCACTTACCGTGAATGAAGCTTGCAAGGCTGGAAGGTGCTTTGGCTGAGGCACTGGGTGAGTACTCACTGCTCTAGACTTCATAAACACACTGCGCTTAGGCTACACTACCTTTATTAAAATATTTCTTTCTTCATTAATAAATCAGCCTTTGTCTACTGCAACTTTTTTACTTTATGAACCTTTTGATTTTTTAGCCGGGTGTAATGGTGCATGCCTGTAGTCCCAGCTACTCTGGAGGCCAAGGCAGGAGGATTGCTTGGGCCCAAAAGTTCAAGGCTGCAGTGATCTGCAATCCTGCCATTGCACTGCAGCCTGCACAACATAATGAGACTCTGTCAAAAAAATAATAACCTTTTTAAATTTTTAAAAACTTTATGACTCTTTTGGAATAACATTTGGCTGAAAACACAAAACACTGTAGAGATGTACAAAAATATTTTCTTTCTTTATATCCTTATTCTGTAATCTTTATTTTTTTATTTTTTGCTAAAAACTAAGACATAAACATTCACCTTAACCTACAGCTACACAAGGTCCTCAATATCACTGTCTTCTGCCTCCACCTCTTGTCCCACTGGAAAGTCTTCAGGGACAATAACATTTGGAGTTGTCACCTCCTATGATAAACAATGCCTTCTTCTGGACACCTCTTTAAGGACCTGCCTGTGGCTGTTTTATATAAACTTTATATATATACACACACACACTTTATATATGTGTGTGTGTGTGTGTGTGTGTGTGTATACAGATACATATATGTGTGTATATATATGTAAGTAGAGGGAGTATACTCTAAAAAATGTTAAAACATATAGTAGGCCGAGGCTGGCGGATCACCTCAAGTCAGGACTTCGAGACCAGCCTGGTGAACATGGTGAAACCCCTTCTCTACTAAAAATACAAAAATTAGCCAGGCGTGGTGGACACACCTGTAATCTCAGCTACTCAGGAGGCTGAGGCAGGAGAATCGCTTGAACTCGGGAGGCAGAGGTTGCAGTGAGTCAGGATTGTGCTGATGTACTCTAGCCTGGGCAACAGAGCGAGACTCCATCTCATAAAAATATAACACAGTCATTCTTATTAGTATCAAATATTGTCTGCTGTATATAATTATACGTACTAGACTTTCGTATGACTGGCAGGGGATAGGTTTGTTTCCACCAGCATCGCCACAAACATGTGAGTAATGCATTGCACTGCAACATCCCGACAAAGTTGCTAGGTAACAGGAATTTTTTAGCTGTGTCTCAATCTTTTTTTTTTTTTTTTTTTTTTTGAGACAGAGTCTC